ACACACACACACACACACACACACACACAGGGAATGTTGTGTTTGTTTGATAATGTTTCAGGACTATGAAAATGGAAAAAATGATTAGCCTATGGATTATGAAAACAACAAAAATAAATGGTAAAATGGGAGAGGAGAAATGACTAGAGACAGTGTTGTTTAACTCACTGACCATGACCCATGAGTTCTTCTTACCTTTGTTCACTAGAAGAGTCTCCCTCTCTAAACTTTAGAGGTTGTTCCATAGACTTGCCACTCTTCATGGACACACAGCTGGGTACAGGGAAGGCTGGTCTCTCCTGCTTGATTGGACTTCAACACAACAGAGACAAACATTACATCTCTCATCTACTCTGAGCTCAGATGGAGAAACAAGAGTTTCATTCCAAAACGCTATATATCCATTTTCAGAAATGTTGGTCAATTAGCTTTTATTGTATAAAGAAATTATTAAACCACTACAAGGCTTTATAAAGGTGTCTAAAGTGTGTAATTTCCACTTTAAAATGTCAGACTTGATTTTCCCTGATGAAAAATGTACGAACCCCTACAGAAAATATCCCTTAATTATAATCCACCGAAAAATACACATTTGCTATTGCTGCAGGATTATGTTTCTGCTGTGAGAAACTGGGTCAAATTAAGATATGGCATCTGTAAATGCATTCATCGTAAGGTAGCTAGGTGAGACAACCACGTATCACAGTCAAATATACAGGATACGAACATTACATTCCAGCTAAACAATGGTTTTAAATCACATCTAAAATCTACAATAGTTACATTGAAGGTACCTATTAGTAATCATTTCTGATGAAAAATCACAAATGTGATTTTCTTTTCTCCTATATAGAATTTTCGAATATAAATTCTTAAACAATGTTTTCAGCTCACCTCTTAGTTTTGGTGTCATGTTCCCCAGAGAGACTCATTTTAGAGGCAGGGCCCCCCTCCTCTCTCTCCCCAGAGAGACTCATTTTAGAGGCAGGGCCCCCCTCCTCTCTCTCCCCAGAGAGACTCATTTTAGAGGCAGGTTCCCCCTCCTTTCTCTTCCCAGAGAGACTCATTTTAGAGGCAGGGCCCCCCTCCTCTCTCTCCCCAGAGAGACTCATTTTAGACCACTGACCCCTAAACAGAGATGCAGCATGTTGGTTGTGGTGAACACAGAGACAACTAATTCTAGAATGTCCATTGTTCTCTTTTACTCATGATCTCTTAGAAATAAAACATTTACTAACAGACATATCGAAACAGTCAGGTTATTTAATGCAATTACTTTTTCGAGCCCAATGACTCCTCAAAACCCGCCCAGAAGGCCTGAAAACTAGGCCAAAACATAGCCCCTGATAGGCCTACATGTTATTTCAGACAGCCTCCAGTAGCCTGGGCAAGATGTAGGCAAGATGTAAGCTGAATGATTTAGCAGCTTGCTTAGTTCAAATTGACAGATGCATTTATTTAACATGAATAGCAAGACGATGTTGAGGTAGGAAGTGCTTCTGTTGCCCAGTAGTCTGCTGGAATAGGCTACTGAGAATGGGGTCGTAATTTCAATCAATGAATCAAATTTTAATAATATGGATATGAACTAAATAGGTCTATGCTTGTCAACAACAGCCAGGTAATTTTTTTTAACCTGTAGCCTAATCTGGCTGACTGTTACCTTAATCTAATGCATTCTAACATCTGATCAGCAATTGCGATAGAACTGTGACCATGGTGACACTTGATAACTTCCAATTGAATTAACTAAACACGGCCATTATTAATTACATAATAACACAAGGCTACAACAACAATAAACTGAAGTTATAGGCTTAGATTATTATTCAGAAATACTTAGAAATACTCACTTTATTTTTTAGTTCTCTCCATATCTTGTTTTCTGCTCTGTCGTCTCAAAATGGATCCTGTACAAAATAACAACTTTACTTTCTGTTTCACTCAGCAGTCTCCACACCCTGATAATAAAATGTTGTATTGGTATCTTCCACTAGATGGCAGTAAACACCTGCTGTAACTAGACTTTACAACAGTAAGTGTTATGTTTCTTGGTCCTGGTGACTCCTGGGAAGTGTCCCAGAGGAGGAGTGCTGACCCAGGATCAGGTCCCCCTGTCCATGTAATCTTATTCATTATGATTGTTTTGTCTCATGTCTCTTTATATTAATATACCCTGGGGACCATGTAGCTGGATTGAAATCACCTTGTTTTATAACCTTCTTTGTTGCTCAGTGGTACTTCAATTGGCCGGACCATGCCCAATTCTTTCACACAGTAATGCTCCAGCATCCACTAAGAGCTTATGCATCTAATGCATTCCTCAAATACTGCAGAGTTGTTAAGCAAGTCCCATCTTCATCCACATTTATTTGCTTATTTGTAAGATGAAACCTGAGAGGATCACTGTAGTGTGTCATAAATGCATCCAAAATGGTTCAGAGGTCCTCAACAATGCTATTCTGTACCGTAGCTGGGATGCAGTGTTCTTTCCTGATTTTCAAAATAAAAAGACAGATATTGATTTTGAGACCTTCAATTAGCTGCTCAGTGTTGATCTCTGTGGCTGGAACATATTCAGCCTCTGGCAGACTCTCTACATCACTCATGTCATCTTCAATGGGATCAGTCCCCGTCTCAAATTCATCATGAGGGCAATTCTCATCTAAGTTGGGGCTTAAAAGCTCTGTGGTTTTGGTAGATGTGTGACCGATAGGCGCTAAAACATATATTTGCTTTCCCACACCCATTAATTCCACAGGTAATTAGAAAATGTGGTTCATGCTGGTGATAGAGGCCAATATGTGTGAGTCGTCTGGACACAAAGACAGTATGCTCGTTGCAAAGTGGACAATTGAAGAGAGTTGGCATTCTTCAGAAAGATTGTGAACCTTGGAATGATGGGATGGAATCATGGAGATCATTGGTACTCAGCCACTTGCAGACATCATCAAGGGACCAGTCTTCCACAGCCACACTCAAATTAAAGTTGACACATAGCGCAAAAGTGAAATGTATTAGTGATGAGGCTAAAACAAAACCTATCCCACTCTTTCCAGACAACCACCTTTCCTCCTAATTTGTATTTATGGTTGTTCCATAAAGAAGCAGAGCTTGTCAGGAAAGGTGAAGATGTCTGTCTCTTATTTATCTGACGCCATATTTCTTATTATGGGACATTATGGGATTCTGCAGTCCCACATTTAAGTGTTGACTCAGATAATATGATGCTCCAAATGGGGCATTAAGTTATTCTTCCATGTCAACCCAAATTGGCCTATTAGAGTTCTCAATAAAGAGCCTATTTGCATTTAAGTCATTTAGCAGACGCTCTTATCCAGAGCGACTTACAGTTAGTGAATACATTTTATTTTATACTGGCCCCCCGTGGGAATCGAACTCACAACCCTGGCGTTGCAAACGCCATGCTCTATCAACTGAGCTACATCCCTGCCGGCCATTCCCTCCCCTACCCTGGACGACGCTGGGCCAATTGTGCGCCGCCCATGAGTCTCCCGGTCGCGGCAGGCTGCGACAGAGCCTGGATTCGAACCAGGATCTCTAGTGGCACAGTTAGCACTGCGATGCAGTGCCTTAGACCACTGCCCCCACTCAGGGCAGTTATAAAGGCTTCTTGCCATAATTACATGTTAGGGAGCTTTAATCCTCCCTTCTAAGTCTTTACCTGTAATCTAGCTTGGTTCATCCTCGCCCTTTTAATAGTCCAAATGAATCATTTTGTCTATGGTGTTAAAGGTGTAGGCAGGTATGGACAGTGGAAACATGCTGATGACGTAATTCCGTTTAGGAGCTTTAACCATCTTTATAACATGTGGCCTACCCCACAATGAGATGTATAGCTTGTCCCAGTTCTTCAACTGGAGTTGAATTTTGTTCAAACACTGTATTGATTGATTGATTGATTGATTGACTGCAAATACATTCATTCACCATTCAGTTAGTGTTGGAAAATATGAAGGAATGACATAAAAACACACAATAATCAAACTGTATTGATGATTGATTCACTGTAAATACATTCATTCACCATTCAGTTAGTATTGGATAGACAAAGGAGTAACACAGAACCACTATAATCACACTTCAAATACATCCAAATACTTTATAGAGACTAACCTGTTAGTAGATCCATAGTGAGCTTTAAACATTGTCTTGCTTTGGTCTGAAATACAGAGGACAGAACAATCCGCCCCAATACACCAACCTGAAAGACATCAATTAGACACAAACACAACATAAACAACATGAGTATTCAATATCAAATGCATCTAACTAATCTGATCTGCTTTATGTATTCTTCTTTTTGTCAAGTCGAACATAATCTACATTGGGTCATCTGTGTGTGTGTGTGTGTGTTAATGATGGGAAGTTCGGCTCTTTTCTGAGAGCCGGCTCTTTTGACTCGGCTCCCAAAGAAGAGCCGGCTCTTTCGACTCCCGAACGGCTCTTTATTTAGGATCTTTTGTAGCCTATATTTTACCTTAACTTTGAAAAAAAAATCATGGTTTATGTGTTGAAAAACCCTTTTGCTTTCAGTGTTTTTTATGAGAGACCTTATAATGCCTAATTCTGTGGCATTTATTCTGTGACAAAACCACTCTTACATTTGTTTATTTCAATTAAACTTTTTTATTGCACAAATTAACAATAAACTTCAAACAAATCCACAGAACAGAATCAAAACCAGAACCAAACTCCAGCAAACAGCATTAGTCCTCAGGGCAGGTTGGCATTCAGGAAGATCAGATGCCTCAGCTTGGATGGGCTGATAGGCCTGATACGATTTCGCCTCTCCGTGAGTATCTGCCCTGTTTTTGGAGAAGATTCTCTCAGAAGGAACTGATGTGGCAACAATACATAGTCTCCCCCTCCATCAACCTTCACCAGGAGTGGAAAGACTGAGGCCTTGGCCTGCCACCAGCTCAGTGGGTCTTCTGCTCTCTGGATGAGGGGCTCCTCAAGGTAGCTCCTCACCTCCATTATAGCATCAGCTGTCGGATTTCTCCTTGAAGCATCTCCTGTAGCTCTGTCATCAAAAAGCCTCCAAACAGCAGAGGTTTGCTGCTCCTCCTCCACTTGGCCCTGTAATGGTGGAGCTGGCTGGCTGCTGGGGGTGCATTTTGCTGCTGCTGCTGCACTAATCCTCTGAAGAGCTTCATCAACAGCTCTACGATCACTGAAGGCAAGTTTTTTAAACCTTGGATCCAATAAGGTAGTTTCTGAAAGGACAGTGTTGTACTCCATCCGCAGAAATTTTGCGGTCCATGGCTGAACAAAGAGCTGCAACTAATTCCTTCACTTTCTGCACAGTTACTGTCCATTGGTTCTCGGCTGTCACCCAGCTGCAGACCTTTGCAAAGCAGGAGCATTTTCGAGGCTGTGACATAGCTGAAGGAGAGAAAACAGCAACTTTTAGAATTTAGTTTTTTAAAAGTATGTGGCATATTATACGTGATGCATTATACTGTATGTGTTGGTGTTTGCAATGTATAATAGTGACTGAATAGTAAGTAGAGAAAACAATGCTTCAATGGGTTCTAGGTACCTGTCTGCACTTATCTCCACAGTCACCTCCTGGAATGGTTGCAGGACGGCGCAGACCTCTTTCACCAGCTCCCATTCCTCTTGGCTTAATGGCTCAATAGATGCGTTGATGAGGGCCAGGGTGGGAGATGAGGCTCTTTTATTTAAAGCTTCGTTTAAACTATAAAATGTTATTTCCCCTGGTGGCACACTCTGTTTGGGCCTCATTCGGAATCCCCCCTTTTGGCGCTGGTGGACTTTAGCTTCTGTGTCTACGGCTTTTGTGGAAAAAATCCCAACACCTTTACCCTTTTCCCGGTTGTTTTTATACCTTCGAGCATCTTAACCACCAGTTTTTTGTGTATGCGCAAAAATGGGGGATGGGTACTTTAAAAATTTTATGGCTTTGGTGATTTTTCAGCAAATTTTTCACCGCACACCATTTTTCCTACTTGCCCCTCTTTTTCCACTCTTGAGCTCCACTGCCAAGTTTTCTGCATTGTCGTCGGGGAACTCGAACAGCCCAAAGGCAATGCATCTTGTAAACTTCAAAAAATGGCAAGGAAAGACATGAAAGACAGTTGTTTTGGAGGTCCAGCATCGTTGTCAGGCAAACTGATGGGCTTTTTTCACCCTTTCTTGCCCTAAAGCCGTTCTGTGTCAAAGTTTTTGGGTCATTGTTTGGGAAAGTGTTTTTTATGGGGAGAGTGTTGTGGGATTTAGGGCTTTGACAAAGTTTTTCATTCCTTTTTTCCCCCCCAAAGGAAAAAGGGTTTAAAATCGAAGCACCATTTTCCCCAAATCACTCAAAACGTGTGTTTTGGGTGGGGGGCTCAGTTTAGGTAAAAACGACTATTTTTTCTTTTAGTTTCGTAGGGGGGGTTTAATTCACGATGGGGGTGGCGTAACGTTCAACCAGCTTTTGTTTTGGTATAGAACACCCGGGTCTAGTGGTGAGCTGGCTTGCCCCCCCTCTAACTGCCTGTGATGGACGTTTTGTATGTCTATGAGGTTTTGGTGGAACCGCTTTATAGTGACCTTCGTTTTGCATAAGGCCTTGCTTTCTTTTTCCCAATTTTTAAAAATGCACCCGATGCGCTTCCTTTCTGTGTCACTCTATTAAAAACGACAAAGCAAACGCCACACCTCCTCACCGCTCGTCTCCTCTTTATTGCAGTGGAGTCAAATGGGTGTTGCCCCCCCCCTCTTGTTTTCACATCCCTTTAATTCTCACTTAAGGCCCTGTGGTCGATGTGGCCCAAAATAACAAACTTGTGAAAATAAATAAGCGCGAAAGGGGAAAAAAACTGGGACCGGCCTCATATGAGGGTCTTCTGATTCAAAAAGGCGGCTTCAAGCCGATGCTTGTGCGATCCCTCAAATTTTGTGTGGTTTTTTGGTGTGTCTTACCTGTTCTGGGTTTTATACTTTCTCTATCAGACCCAGCTCCCAAAAATCTCCACCATTAATGGGCGGGGGGGATAAGCCGGTACTAAGGGAGGAGGATGGAAGGAGATGGTGGAAAAATATTCAGGGTTTAAAAGACACAATTTTTCAATATGAGTTAGCTACTAGTTAGCTAAGTTAAAAAGTCTTTAAAAAGCTAGCACTGAGCTAACGTGCTAAAACACCAAAATTTTTACACAAATTTCCAGCTACTTAAGGTATGTAGTTTGGATACTAATAAAAACCAAAAGTAAAATTACATGATTTTGTTTTTTAGTTATTTGTAGTATTTTAGAAATTTTTATCTTAGCTAGCGAATAGCTAGGTTCCCTCACCTTTCACGTCAATCCGTTGCAAGTCATCTCTTATTGGCCCGTCTCTCCCAACCCTCCGCGCGCTTTCCCCTTCCGTTTTTTTTTGACCAACGGTCCAATTTGAATTTTTGCGCTCGCGGCCCCTTTTCTCACGAGGGCCTGCTGGTTCCAACCGAACCCCCCTTTGGAAAAGGCTTCTTCAAAGAACCCCCGAAGTCTACAAGGTTTTAACAACAGTGATGGCAGATATAGGGGTTGGAAATTATTTAAGGTATTTTTTACCTTATATTACCTTTTACCTGACGGGACAACCTTACCCTTTGGTTACGGGACTTTATGGTTCCAATCACTTTTACTGATGGGACCACTTACCCTTTGGTTAGTGACTTATGTTCCCCAATCCTTTTACCTGACGGACCACATTACCCCTTTGGTTATGACTTTTATGTTCCAATCCTTTTACCTGACGGGACCACCTTTTACCTTTGCGTCTACTGACTGATGTTCCAATCCTTACCTGACGGACAACCTTACCCTTTGGTTACTGGACTTTATGTCACAATCCTTTTACCTGACGGGACCACCTTACCCATTTGGTTACTGACTTTATGTTCCAATCCTTTTTACCTTGACGGACCCACACTTACCCTTTGGTTACTGACTTTATGTTCCATCCTTTTACCGGACGGGCCACCTACCCTTGGGTAATGGATTTATGTTACAAATCCTTTTACATGGACGGGACACTTTACCCTTTGGTATGAAATTATGTTCCATCCTGGAACCGAGGGACCACCTTACCCTTTGGTTACTGGAATTTATGTTCCAATCCTTTTACCTGACGGGACCACCGACCCTTTGGTTAATGCTTTATGTTCCACTCCTTTCCCTGACGGAACCACCTTACCTCTTGGTTACTGACTTTATGTTCCAAATCCTTTTCCTGACGGGACCACCTTACCCCTTTGTTGGTTACTGACTTTATGTTCCAATCCTTTTACTGATGGGACCACCTTACCCTTTGGTTACTGATTTATGTTCCAATCCTTTTACTGACGGGACCACCTTACCCTTTGGTCTACTGACTTTATGGTTCCAATCCTTTACCTGACGGGAACACCTTACCCGTTGGTTAACTGACTTTATGTTCAATCCTTTTACATGAGGGAACACATTACCCTTTGGTTGTTACTTGACTGTATGTTCAATCCTTTTACTGAAGGGACCACTTACCTTTGGGTTACTGAATTTATGTTCCAATCCTTTACCTGACGGGACCACCGTACCCTTTTTGGTTATGACTTATGTTCCAATCCTTGACCTGAGGGACCACCTTACCACTTTGGTACGACTTTATGTTCCAATTCCTTTTAACTGACGGGACCACCTCCTATTGGTTAATGACTTTATGTTCCACCTTTACCTGACGGGAACACCTTACCCTTTGAGTTCTGACTTTATGTTCCAATTCTTTTACATGACGGGACCCACCTACCCTTTGGTTACTGACATTTATGTTCCAATCCTTTTACTGACGGGACCACCGTACCCTTTGGTTACTGACTTATGTTCCCAATCCTTTTCCCTTGACGGGACCACCTTACCCTTTGGTACGGACTTTAGTGCCCAATCATTTACCTGACGGGACCACCTTACCCTTTGGGGTAATGACTTATGTTCCAATCCTTTACCTGACGGGACCCCACTTTACCCTTGGCTTACGAACTTTATGTTCCAATCCTTTTACCTGACCGGGACCACCTGACCCTTGGTTACTGACTTTATGTTCAATCTTTACATGACGGGACCACCTTTACCCTTTGGGTACTGACTTTATGTTACAATCCTTTTACCTGAGGGACACTTACACTGTCGGGTTAAGACTTTGAGTTCCATCCTTGTGTGTCTTACCCTGAAGATTAAATGGATGCTGTGTAGAAGGTTTTGTCCTAGGTTGCAACTCCCATTTTCAGCCTTAATCGCAGGACATCCAATAGCGGGAAAACTTCTTTGTAAAAAGGATTTTAGAGAATTCTGAAATGTAATATATCAGGAAAACTGAACAATGTTGTGTGGTGCTATCTCATGTATCAACTTTTGTATTATGATGAGTTGTTGAAGAAACCTAAAAAAATCTAATTTGTTGAAGGAATACCAGCATCCCTGTCTGATGATGAATCTGACCTCTCATTAAAAAAAAAATCTGCTGGTTTTGGATTATATGTTTTTTGCCGGTCGTGAAACATCCTGACAATAGCTCAAGCTTTTACTCAATATACTCATCATCAAAACTTGTCAGGTGTTACTTCGTAACAAAATGTGTTTCCCAAGGTAAATATAGGCTACCATTAGCTTGATTTGCCAAATTACGTGGTTATGTTCAAAAACCCTAGAGGACAAACTACAAATAAACCTTCTAGCTCAGCAGAAGTTCCTTACTTTATGGAAAAGATATGAGGATGCTACCAAAGCACAATTTTCTTATTTAATCGGGGACTTTAAATCGAATATCCCGAACACTGAGGGATCAGAAAAGGATTGTTTCTGTGGAGTGGCCAGAAGTTTACATTCCGATTTTTATTTATTTTAATCTGCGTTTTAAAAAAGAAACAACCACTCTTGAGATCCCTAGTTGTGGCTACCCATAAATGCTGTAAAGCCATCTTGGGCCGTTGTTCTTCAGATCTCATAGTTATCCCTATGTGAGGTTGCTTGGACAAGAGTGTGATGGCCAGGCGTGGGGGTGAAACAGAGTGTGATGGCCCAGCGTGGGGGTTGTTGTTGAACACAGAGTTGTGACCAAATGGCCAGGCTGGGGGTTGGTTGAACACAGAGTAGTGTGATGGCCAGGGCGGGGGGTTGACACCGAGTGTGATGGGCCAGGCGTGGGGGGTTGAACACAGAGTGGTGTGATGGCCAGGAGTGGGGGTTTGAACACAGAGTGTGATGGCCAGGACGTGGGGGTTTTGAAACATAGAGTGGTGATGGCCAGGCATGGGGGTGAACACAGAGTGTTGATGGCCAGGCGTGGGGGTGATCACAGAGTGTGCTGGCCCGGTGAATTGTGTTTGAACACCAGAGTGTGATGGCACGGTGGGGGGGTTGAACACAGAGTGTGATGGCCAGGCGTGGGGGTTTGAACACAGAGTTGTGATGGCCAGGATGGGGGTTAACACAGAGTGTGATGGCCAGGCGTGCGGGGTTTGAACACAGAGTTGTGATGCAGGCGTTGGGGGTTGCACACAGAGTGTGATGGGCAGAGGTGAGGGTTGTTGAACACCAGAGTGTGATGGCAAGGCGTCGGGGTTGAAACACAGAGTGTGGATGGGCCCAGGCCCTGTGGGGTTGAACAGAGTTGATGGCCAGGCGGGGGGGGGTTGAACACAGAGGTGATGGCCAGGCGGGGGGTTGAAAACAGAGGGTGATGGCCAGGCGTGGGCCCCCGGTGAACACAGATTGGATGGCAAGGTGTGGGGGTTTGTTTGAACCACAGAGCGGGTGATGGGCAAGGGTGGGGGTGAAACACAGAGTGTGAGGCAGGCGTGGGGGTATGTTTGAACACAGTAGGTGTGATGGCCAGGCAGGGGGGGTTGAACACAGAGTGTGATGGGCCAGGCGTGGGGTGAACAACAGAGTGTGATGGCCAGGCGTGGGGGTTGAAAACACAGAGTGTGATGGCCAGGGGCGTGGGTTTTTGAACACAGATGTGATGGCCAGGCGGCTGCGGGGGTGAACACAGAGTGTGATGGCAGCGTAGGGGGTTGAACACAGAGTGTGATGGCCAATAAAATGTTACTTAAGTGCCTTTAACATGCTTTGATAGACTTAAACAACAGGGTCCTGAAAATATACGACAGCAGGAAATGATTTGGATACGGCCATGAAGGATATTTTGAACAGAAAAGGTTGAATTCCATGATAAGGGTCCAAAATACACAAACCTCTCTGCAAAGGTATTTGGCCTTGTAAAACAGGTGAGAGATGAGAGATGGGAGGGACCGAAGGAGTGAGAATGATGGAGACCAAACATTTATCGCTTTACCCTACCGGAACTATTAAAGGAGGAAGAGCAAGAGAGAGGCTGCCCTGGTAATGACTGGACCGGAAGGAGGACCTTACAGGTGCAGATCAAATAACATGTTGAAAGATAATGTTCTGCTGAATGGTGACACATGTCCAGCAAGTAACAGAGAGACGGAGAACTGTTAGATAAAGATGACAAAAATTAAAAGACAGTAGTGGGGTCTATGTCTTCCATAGAAGCAGATCCAGCCCCCCCCGCAGTCCTCCAGTCCTTTGTTTCAACCAGTGCTGGGGTCTATGTCTTCTAGAAGCTCCAGCCAGTATCATCCAGTCCTTTGTTTCCACCAGTCGTGGGTGGGGGTCTATT